CTAGAATATGGCAAGAGAACCTGACTAGAACCTGGTGACTGAACCTGGCTGGAGAACCTGGAGAACCTGGCTGGAGAACCTAGCAAGAGAACATGGACACAGAACTTGGCGGGAGATTGTGGCTAGAGATCCTGGCAAGGCTGCTGATCAACTGAATGCTGTCTCTGAGTCTTTCCTTCTTCGCCGACTCCGTCCACACCTTTGGGGACCCCTGGACCTGCTGGGGTTGGACCAGACTGCGAGAGGGCACTGGCTGGGCTGAGGGACCCCCCCGAGTGCACAAATTTTTGTGCTCTTGGCTGAGGGACTCCCCAAGTGCACAAATTTTTGTGCACCAGGCCTCTAGTTAATAGATAATAATACAAGAATAAATGTATTTCATGTGCTCATAACTGTAAACCTACTTCTGCCCCATCCTGTATTATTGTTTCTGAAATAGATTATAAGAATATGCAATTTAGAGTTTCAACTTCTAGAAGCTCTTATCATTGATTAGAGAACAGATGCCATCCTATATTTAAAATTTTTTTTGCTTTATTTTTGAATTCTAGTGAAATTTTAAATTATTCTTTGTTTTATATATTACTTTTGCAATAATTCCAATTTCAGTTAATATTACAGCCTGTACTTTTAATTAAGATATAATTGACATTATATTAGCTTGAGGTATACAACATAATGATTTGATATTTTTATATATAAAGAAATGATCACCATAATAAGTCTAGTCAACATCTATCACCACACTTAGTTACATCTTGTGTGTGTGTGATGAGAACTGTTCATATCTGCTCTCTTAGCAACTGTTAACTATACCATACAGTATTATTAACTATAGTCAGCATGCTGTACATTGTATCTTTAGTACTTATTTTATAACTGGAAGTTTATGCCTTTTGACCCCTTCACCCATTTTGTAACATGCCCCATCCCCCACCTCTGGCAACCACCAATTGTTCTCTGTATCTATGAGTTTGGTTTCTGGTTTGTTGGAGTTTTTTTTCTTTTTTTAGATTCCACACATAAGTGAGATCATATGGTATTCGTATGACAGCCTGGTTTTAAGCATAGGTACATGCTTGAGAATAAGGATTTACTGCCATTTGAATACATTTAGAGCATCACCTCAGTATAAAAGGTGATTTCTTGAAATATCTTGACAGAATCTAGTACTTTGCTAGAATTATTTCTTTCTGTTTTCCAAAGAATCTTTCCCAATGGAAAGAACTCTATATATGTAGTTATACTATTTTAGAAATGAAATGCCAAACTATAACTTCAATATAGTAAAAAATATAAATCCTGTTTAAAGACCAATATCAGAGTTTCAAAAAAGTAGATCAGTGGACATAATTGGAAGGAAATGTGTGGTATGCTTTCAGTAACACAGAGCACACCAATATTTATAAAAATATGCATTGTAGAATTATTCATTATAGAATTACTTCCTGTGCCTCATAGATATTTCCAAGGGAAAAAAGACAGATGTTACACTGAATAGCAAGGTCATCTGAGTTTAAAAATAGTTATTTTGCAGTATGCCTCTTCCTTGTCCAGTATTAGGAGAAAATTGTCATTAATCTCTAGAATTAAATATATAGTGTTAACATGTTGAGTCCATTCATATTTTGTGAAATAACTTTATTTGTTCTGCAATAGGTGGCTAGCAGGTAAATTAAGCAATGTTTGGTGATATTTTAAAGTTGTAATTTCACCAACAACTTAATTAGGGGATATAAATATAAACCTGGAAATAAAAAGTATTGTATACTATATTTGGCTACTCGAAGACTGAAAAATAACTTTCCAGTGGACTTTTCCTGGGAAGTCAGTTGTTTGTTTTGGCAAGTTTCTTTTCATCTTAACTTGTGCAACATTTAAAAGAAAAACTATGAAGGTTACAGAAATTATATTTTAAAGGTAATTTTTTTTTAATTACAGAAAATTTTAAAAATAGGTTAAATTATATAGGTGTGCTGTTCCTTATTCTGGGCTCATACCCCAGGAACAATTCTTTTTAACAGTTTCTTTTACTTCAGTTTCTAATGGGTATGCCTTCATTTATTTGATCAAATTCACAGCAAGGAGATGTTAAACTCTTGGCATTCTTAAGAAATATGTTTTAAGAATTTCAGTCTCTGATTCATACATGCCACTCTATCACTTAATTTCTTTCTTATAGTTCTGTTTGGTTGTGTTCTCGGCTGGAAGGGGGAAGAGTGTGCTATCTCCCCAGCCCCCCAGACGAATATATTAGAATCTTCAGGAAGGTCTTTGTCACAGTATACATGCCTTTCTTCCTACCTCCAAGGGAAGCATGCCTACTGGGTTGAAAATCACTGCATGTAATTTCAGATGTCCCTGGTTGGGAGTGCGTTGTGAGATAGTGTAGAAGCAGAACAAAGTCAAGTTAAGAATAATATGTATAGAAAGGCCGAGACATTTCATTGGTGAACAGTTCTTTTTTTTTCTGGCTAACAGATATCATTGTCTTAGATGTTTTCTTTTTCCGTTTATCCCACTATTCCATTATCAGCTCGTGCAGAGGGCTCTCCGTTCTCTTCCCTTCACAAGAATTCCTGCGTGAGCATTAATGAGTAGAAAACAACAAAACAAAGTAGAGATATGGCTGGCATAGCATAGACTGTCTTCTGCTGAGACGAGCGACTGGCTTCTGCATTCTAGACAAGGGCAGTCATATTTATATCCAGTAAGATTACTATGATGGGGCCTTCAGAGTTCAGTGGGATAGTTGTTGAAACTTCGAGTACTAACTCCATGAATGGCAAACTAAATCTATCATCTTTTAGACCTTTCAACCTGGTAGAAAACTCTTAGAGGTCTGTGATTCTGCCTATTTGAAGAGTCACCTTACTGGGCACAGTGGAGACTAAAAATGACAAGGACATGGTTGTCTAAAGGGTTAGTGCCACCGTGCTTTTGAGTTCTCACTGCAGCACGTAAAACGAAGTAAAAGGGCTAAGATGAGACATACTAATTTTTTTTTTACCTGTTTTATTTGCAGACTGCAGCTGAATATGTAAAATCTCGACTCCCAGAGGCCCTTAAACAGCATCTACAGGACTACGAGAAAGACAAAGAAAATAGTGTTTTGTCTTACCAGACCATCCTTGAACAGCAGATTTTGTCGATTGACCGAGAAATGCTAGAAAAATTGACTGTATCCTATGATGAAGCAGGTATGTTGTCTTTCATACACACACAGTCACACGATTTTTTCTCCCTGCAGAAATTTCTTTATACATTGGTTAAATTTCGGCCCTTTTTCTGAGGTAGAAGATGAAGGGCAAACTAGACCCAAAGTTAGATCGTATGGATTAACAGTGAGTTTCTTCTCTGCGGTTTTAGTATAAAAAATTTCATCAGGAGGTTCCTAAAAATGTCTCTTAAATATCAAATTCCTTTTACAGTTTTGCTCTTTTTTTAAAAGGAAATTTCTGGTCTTTTATCAATCATGGACTCTTACTGATTTAATCCTTTGAAGTGTCACTTCAATTTCAGATACCAGTGAAAACTTTTGCATCTGATAATCCAAGGACTATTATTTGCTTCAAGTATTATTTTTTAATTTTAGAGAATTTCTTTTATAAAGAGGTGCCATTTTTTCTTAAAGTTTCAAGCTGAACTTGACTTTCTTTTTCTTTAACTCCTTATGTGAATCCTAGCTCCCCTTATCATACCAGATACTTCGGTTCTTTGCCTCCCATAAGTTCATCCTATCCAAGGGAGCTTATTATTGAAGGCATAGACAGACCTCCTTATAACACCATTTTTATTTATTACATGGTCTGTCTGCTAAAACCCAAATTTTAATGAAACCAGTGCAATATTACTTGGAATTATTAAAATATTTAATAAAATTAAACTTAGGAGAAATATCCTAATTAAAATGGTCATACTGCCCACCCCTCAACAAAATGGAGAAGAAAGTATAGGACAATAACGTTTCTAATAGTCAAATGTTGGTAGTATCAATCCCTATTACTAGGACCTTCTGTTTTTATTTCCACAAGGAAGTTGTTAGCATGCATCTCATTTTCTTTCTCCTGATCCTAAGCAGTCTCAGTGCTGATGTTCTTAACATTTGATTTCAAGCTTGAATAGCAGACAGAAGAGTAAATTAAAAAACAAACATTATGCTACACATGCCTAAACAGTAATGCAATTTTTTTTAGTTATTAAGCTGTCCCCATTTATATTCTGCCTTATTATCCCTTTGCCTCCCTCTCAGACAAGATTCACATTTCAAGCCTTGCCTAAGACATCTCTTCTCTCTCTGATTCTTCTTTACTTCATTAATTTTCCAGACACATTGGTTTCTTCTGCCTGCTGGGTGGTTAGATATTTGGTTACTGTGTTTGCCTCGTTTTTCACATTCTTGTCTTTGGAATTCTCATTCATCTCTTCTCTCACCCCTAATGGCGTAAAGGCTATGGTTGGCCCAATCAACATAATATTTAAATATTTATAGCATCTCAGAGATCATGGAACTCATATGCTTCACCTCCTTCCTACCCCCCTAATCATTTTATGATGGGAAAACGGAGACTCGCAGACTTGCCTGCAATAACACAAGTTACTTAGCTATGGAGCTGGAACTCCAACCTCCTATTACAAATCAAGCCAGGCGTTCACTGCCAGAATGCAGGTTCTCACTCTTTCAGTAGGCATTTGTCCAATGCATAGTGATATACTAGGCAGCTGGAAGAAAGAGGGAAGGGTTTTGAAAAGGCAGAGAGGAATTGGAGATGTTGAAAATACTTTTTGTTTTTAGGTTATCCTCACTAAGGATATTTTTTTTCATTGATTTTTAGAGAAAGTGAAGTGGAAGGAAAGGAGGCATGAGGAGAGAGAGAGGAGGGGGAAGAGAGGAGAGAGAAACATGTATGTGAGAGAGATGCTTCTATTGTTGCTTCCCACACACTCCCTGACCTAGACTGGGAATCGAACCCACAACACACACCAGCAAGGCAGATCTTGTTTAAAGTCTAGCTGGAGAGCTAAAACACACATATGTGACTTCTGAATAAAAATTCCTGAGGATTTGGGGAATGAGTACACTCTATAGTATTCACAAGCTATTGGAGTTAAGTTCTTTAGGGGAGGACATTGGTTTAAACCCTGAAGGACAAATGATGAATGTAGGTTTGTGCAGATAAGAGAGATGCAGTTTTTGTGAGGAAAGGGCTCAAGTAGGCACCAAGGTGAAAAAGCTAAGACCCATAGACCTGCTTACAGTAACAGTTACTTAGCCATAGAGCTGGGACTCCAACCTCCTTTTATAAATCAATCTGGGCTTTCACTGCCCTACTGCAACCAGCCACAACTTCCCACCATTGAAATTTTCTACTCACCTGCATGTTGTTGAGCAACTACTGGTCTGCAGAGGTGCTCTTGTACATGGCCTTTGGGAGCAAATACTTTGACACAGAATTAATGTATCAATAAATTTGCAGCATGAAACAGCAGAAATCACTACAGGATTGAGAGTAGAAAATCTGAATTCCAGTCTTTTCCTCTAGCTTAATGGTGACCTTTAGCAAATTAATGTCTTAGAGCCTTGGTTTCTTCATCTATAAATTTGGGCTAATAATATCTCACAGGGTTATTATGATAAGAAAGTATGTCACATTTGAGGAAGTCCTTAGAAATTATGTTAGAAATGTCACTCATGCCAAATGAGAACAGATTTATGATCTTTTTATCCCACAGACCCGTTTACAGCACTCAGAGGTTTTTCTTGGCATGTCGTCTCTGGGGAGGCAGAGGCAAATTTTTAAAAATGATCTTCAGAAGCTTTGAGAAGTCAAGCAACATCTATGTTAAATCAGCCACTCCGGGCTCAGTGTGCCCTTGGTCGTTTCTGCATGAGGTGACACATTTGGTGGGGGCTAGTTATGTATGAGTCAGTGAAGGTCATTGTGTGTTGTAAAATCTAAACTGCCTTCTGCTGCACTACCCACATCTTAATAATTTCATTCAAAGAACAAGGAGAAGATATGAAAAGTCATTGCTATTAAAATGAAAAATAGGTTATCATAATACAAAGGAGTCAGGAAATAGAATAGAAGAGAAGGTACCTAATACCTTTAGATATAAACATCTTATATGAAGACAAACATTCATTTGTTTCAACTGCTTACCTTCTTTCCATACTATCCAGTTTTTACTTGTTCACATTCTTAATTCCGCTCTCCCAGTTTTAGGAAGTGATTAATTATTAATTAGAAAATGCCCTTCTTTGTCTGTGGAGAGGTTAATTTGCCTTTCATGCTCATCCACTGATAAATCAAGGCTGCGTGACAGTTACCACATTTGTGGTTTCTAAACTTCTAAAAACCAGTTAATGAAAAATCCTTAGACACTTGTCTAAAACCATTGGCTCCGAACCTTTCCTCCCTCCTCTCTCTTCTGTCTTTCCCTCTCAGTTTCCTCCCTTCCCCATTAAACATATTTGCTCCCAAAGGCCATGTACAAGAGCACCTCTACTCTTCCACCATTCAACTATCTAGATACCTGACTTTCAGCAAAGAAATGGGAAGGAAGCAAAAGCCACCCTCTGCCATACTATGTCACAGAAACTTTAGATTCTCACCTGGAATCTATATATTTTCACTTTAAATCATTCTCACCTGTTAGATATTTTCCGATGTGATATTTTTAAAAATTCTTGTTCTGACATTGAGTATTGTACTTTTATTACAGAAACAAATAGAAATAAGCGGAATGGTATAATAATAGAATAATAATTATCAGTAATCCTGTCATTGTAAACATTTGGTACATTTCCCTCACTCTAAGCATTTTTGAAATGTTATTGATATCTAGCAGTTTTATATCCTACATTTTTAATTTAACACTATGACATAAGCTCTTCTTTATTTTATTAAAACCTCCTCATGTGATGATCATTTTAATGGCTACATAATATCCTATTCTTTTAAAGTACTACTTACTAACCATTCTCCTATGTTGGACATTTGTGGTTTTGTGTTTGCGAATAATGCTGCAATACATATGATGTGCATTTGTCTGTATTTCATATTACTCTAAAGAGCAGATTTTAGAAAACCACAGTTTAGAATTAGAATTAGAAGGTGGGGAAAGGAGATGATACTGGGAGCAGAGACCTGAGAGCAGCAAGGAATAAAAGCAAAGAGCAAATTCATAGAAATCTACAAAAAAAAAACCAGTTATCATATTCCCAGCATTGTGCTGCACTCTATGTCAAGTCGGCATTCATAGACTGTAGTATATAGGGTTAACATCATTAATCTTCATAATGATGACGTTAAGTCACAGAGAAAAGGTTTAATTATACTCTCTGTATAAAAATAGGAATTGTGTAAACCATTTTAGAAGGATTTTCATCCAAATGGTTTATTTTTAAGTTTTGATTATTACAGTGATTATTAAGTTTTGTAGTATAATTGAAAGAGGTCTTAGAACCAAAAGACCCAGATACGATTCCTAGCCCTGCTGCCAACCAGATATAAGACCTTGATTAAGTCACTAAATCTCCTTAAACCCTGTTTTGCTATAAAACAAAGGAATGAACAGGATCTCATAGATGTCTTCCATTTCTAAAACTATGATTCTGGTCTCTTGGCAATGGAAAACTCAGGTGGCCATAGCTTCTGCAGGGTAGCATGTAGCTTCTTCTTGAACTTTCTGCTTGCTCCATCATCTTTCTCCTGTCTCTTCACACAGCCCATGTAATTTACACAATAATCAGGCTCAAAGACCACTATGCAGTCTTTCTGTCATCTGTCCAAGAAGATGCCCAGGCATACTTTTGTTGGTGGGATGGGAGCCAGGCAAAACTAGATTTTGAAAGAAGAGGCTCTGGGCCATCATTCATGGGTCCTCATTAAGATAGCTTAGATATTTTTACTAGCATTTATTAATGCTATAGAGTAAGAAAATATGGTTTGAAGTTGATCTATTAATATTTTTATTTCAAATCCAAGTTTATACACATTTCTATAGATTCAGCTTAGACACTAAGGGAAGCAGTGGCATGGTTTGAGAAGTGATCAAAATAGCATTTCCCACCATCTCAGAGAACATCATTAACCTAAATATTCATTGTTTGTTATAGGAAGCAAAAATATGAAGGGTTGAAATAGCAGGAGAGGGAATCTTTCCTTTCGTTGTTTATTTTTGTGCTGGTATATTA